CTACATTTATAAATTTAAATGTTCTACACTTACAATTAATTTAACAATGCTAAAATTGTCATTAACTGAACATTGCTAGAATCTACGAACTACACATATAAATGTATATATAGATAATGCAATAACAATTGATTAATTAATATAATAGTCTTTTATGCATAATAATAGCTTAAGTGAAAGAAAAGCAACTTATATTACTTAATAAATGATTCTTTTTTTTTACTAAATTTTCAAATAGTGCACTTAATATAGCAAATGAATGAAATAAAATTTATAAATCTACTTTCTAGGAAGCAAACATAAGAAATGAATGAGTAAATGTGAATTAATTCATTGAATTTTCTTTTTTAAGTCAATTTATAACAAATACAAAAGTAATTGTTGTATATAACTCATAATACATACAATTCAATTAAAAATGACTAATTATTTTGTTAAAATACATTAAAATTTTCCAATTTGAAGCAATTTTTAAGTCAAACTTTCCCTTCACATGACTTAATTACAACAATTTAATCCATTTCACATGACTTCATTACTACAATTTAATCCATTTCACACAATTTATGTATTAATGTTTATTGAAATGCATCTTAAACATTAATTACGTTAATTTTTATAAAATGACTATTAACCGTTTATTTCTATTATGAAGAAATGACAATATTTTTTATTTTTATTTATTTTTTTTACCTTCCCGTCAATCAGATGATCCTTGTCCATATTGGATTTAGTTTATACAGTATTCGCTAGAGGCGCGATTATAAAACTGCAATGTTGCCACGCTTCTCTATTTTATATAAACTAGAATTTTAAACTTTCAATATATGAAATATTATGTTAAATTGATCAAATAATTTAAGTTGTCATTGATGCAAATTATAATTATATACATACTGTATTTTCACACATATTGCTTATAACAGCATGTTCTTATGTGCAAAGTGTGCTCTTATAAGCAGTGTGTGTGCAAAGCAGAACACATTTCAAAAATGCAAGAACAAATGCAACAAATACCATGTCACTGAACAGAGATGAAAGTTTTGTTACTAAAAGCAAACTAAGGTACACAAAACATCATTCAGTGAATGAATAATGAATGTAGAGATAAAATAAATATTCAATCTTTAGTCCATTTGCTGGATACTCACTAAATTTAGTTTGCCAGGATACAGTGAATTGATGCTTAGGTATTGTAAATTTTATTGCTATCTATTATATGAACTTTTTCCTCCTGCTTCAAACAAGCAATAAGCTGTGACGAAGTCATATATTCACCACTGATAAAAGTCTCTCAGGTATCAAAAGGGAAACACATGCAAATTCAGATTCAGCTATAGAAATGAATCTGACTGAGGTTCTAGAAATATGTTACCAAAAAAAAGTGAAACAGGAAAAGAAACAGACATAATTCAAGAAAATATGGAAGGATTAGAATTTGTATTCATATTGTAACTCTGGAATTGTATAAATTTGTGTATATCACTGAATGATTACACTAGAAAACTCCTTTGTTGATTTAAAAGTAAAAGGAAAAGTTAAGCTTCTGAATGTTGTTTATAAAATGTGCAGAAAAAAGGTGTAAGCAAAGAAGCTAACAATTTACAACTGCCAAGAGAAAATTTTGTACACAAAGTTTTCTTTCAATCTTGCATTTTTTAGGAGCTCACATAAGTCAAACAGGATATATTTACAAAACAATTGCAAAAAAATTTTCATTTTTGTTGGATTTGCATGTCACAGAGGAAAGACTGTGCACTGACATAACTGTACTGATGCAAACTTATCTGAGGATGTTAACATTTAGTTAAAGAACTGATGCATTTTCATGCTTATGTGGAAAAAATTATTGATATACAAATGTATCTAACTATGAAGAGCTATAGCAAATAATCTTTAAAAATAAAATTCAGTTAGTATTCCCTAATGTAGAAGTTCTCTAATAATATTGTAGACTCTTCTTAAGTTTAATGTGCACAAACTGTTCAAGAGGACAATCCTTTCAGAGTTAAAAAGACTTACCAATGAATTATATTCCACAATGCAACAAGAAAAGACTTTAGATTTTCTCATTCTATGCATCAAAAATGTCAAAGTTTGCAAAACATCTAGTACAGGAGATATATACAGTAGAACCTCCATTATCCGGACCTCCATTATCCGGATTTTCGATTATCCGGATTGTTCAAAATAAACAAAAATTTTATGAATTTGCTGATTTGCACTTGGCGAATTATGACACTGTTTATGTACGTGATGGAATGCATAACTTTTTTNGTGTTTTAAATATTTATTTTACACTATAAAATTGATATTCTTGTATTATAAGAGAGTATTTTTATTATAGAATCTATTTATTAACTGCAAATATAATATACATTTGTGTTTATGATTTTAAGTAAATTTAGATTAATTTAATCTTTAAATTTCTTATGCTAAACTTTTGTTTATAGTTTTATATGTAAAACTATAAATAATTTTCTAGATTCATAAATTTATTCGGTTAGATTTCAAGGTTTAAAGGTCATTATCACTACTATTAAAATTATAATCCTCTGATTTAATAAGTAATTCAAGGTAGATGTTCACCTAGGTAGTCCTAATGGCTGTATCGTGTTTAACAATTTAGCCCATGTGACTGTGCCATCTTGGCACTTGTACAGATTAATGGGTACGGCTATTTGAGAGGTTTACTTTCATAAAATTAACTAAATCTAGATTAATTTCACTCGAATATTTCCAAAACACGTATAATTTGTTGAAATGATCGATATAAAATATGCTATGAACAAAAAATTGTCGGAATACTTATCGAGTGTACCCGTTCGAAGACGCCATTGCTTAAGCTTGTTTTCGTCGCGGAACGGCACATTCTTCGTACGCGTCCGCTTCCAATGTGTCGGTGCTATTCGGTCACGTGACTACTCCTTTCTGACGTGTTCCTGATAACTTATTCTTTTTGCGAAGAATTCACTGAACTTTAGAGACATCACGTGATAGATTACAATAAAAAATCTATAGTATATTATGATTAAAAACGACTTATTATCATTATTGACTATATGAAGCAGCAAAGGAAAAACCACTCGCTAACGACAACAATTCTATCATGATATATATTATAATGATGATAAATATTAATCAGATGCAACATAAGATGTCTAATGTCGATGTAAATAAATATTATACAATTTTGTTTACGACATGAGAGATTAGATCATTGAAAAGTAGAACAGAATTATTAGTTATTTATCGCATTATCATACGTTATTATATGTTGATTTTAATCCATATTTAGAATGGAATGAAGTTTTAATATTTCTGTTAATGATGTCTCTAAAGTTCAGTGAATTCTTCGCAAAAAGAATAAGTTATCAGGAACACGTCAGAGATGAGTAGTCACGTGACCGAATAGCACCGACACATTGGAATCGGACGCGTACGAAGAATGTGCCGTTGTGCGACGAAAACAAGCTTAAGCAATGGCGTCTTCGAACGGGTACACTCGATAAGTATTCCGACAATTTTTTGTTCATAGCATATTTTATATCGATCATTTCAACAAATTATACGTGTTTTGGAAATATTCGAGTGAAATTAGTCTAGATTTAGTTAATTTTATGGAAGTAAACCTCTCAAATAGCCGTACCCGTTAATCTGTACAAGTGCCGCCATCTTTGAGTAGCCCTCTTGACTGTTTGTGGAGTCTTGATGTTATACAGTTTTAGGGGATGTGGAGCCGAGCCCCCACCTGGGTGCTGAGGTGTGAGCCATAGCCAGCATGTAGGATAGTGGTAGACTGATACATGTTAAAAATTGACCTTCAGAGATAAATATCATGTGAAGGGTCGACAATTGTGGGGTGGTGTGATTTATGTAAAAAAATATGAAATAAAACATTGATTTTTCTAAAAAAAAGTAGTGAAAAATGACAGTCACTCCGTTAACTGAGGTACCGCCTTCAGGGCTACCTAGATGAACATTTACGTAATTTGATTGTTTACATGTATATCTCAACTACAAATTTGATCTAGAATGTTTTTGTTTACATGTGTTATGGTATAACAGTAAAATTACTAATTATAGCATTAAAATCCAATAAGATGCAAACTCTAAATGAGGTGTTTTTCATCCCCAGAATTGTAGACCCCTGTATGAGCAAAAAATTCAAAAGGACCATACTTGTAGCGTTGCCAATTTAGTGAAAAAGTCGCTATATTTGGCGAGTTTTTGCTTTAGTTAGCACCTTTTTTTGAAATTTAGCGACGGAGATTTTTCTTAGAGATATTTTAGTAAATTTAGCTACATTTTAGAGATTTTCCACGAAATCAAAAAATTTAATAAATTTATTAATTTATATTATCTTTAATGTGCAATAATTATGTGCATGAGTCTCAAATCTTATTTTTAATAAGTGGCAACACTAATCAGAGCTCAAGTTTTTATATCATGACCAAATATGGTAAATATTTTTAAAGGGGACGTAGCTTAGTGGGTATTATCGTCGCGACTATCTGTAACAGATCCAATCCTGATTCAAATAGTTTATCAAACTTTTTAAGAAAATTAACAGTGATCGTTATTACATTCAAAATTTCGGAATCCTTATATAAGTTACCTATCTTGCATCGTGAGTAACCAAGTGCATTAATATAGTGTCATTTTGTGATAATATTATTTACTATTATTTATTGGTATTGCAATTTATTATTTATTACCCTGACATCAGTGAAAATGTCAAATGAAAGAAAATACACTCAAAAATTTCGAATAGAATGGAATGGCTTTGTGACGATAGGTTTAAAAACTGGTTGCAGAAAAGGAGAAAATACAAAGTGTCGCTGTAAATATTTTAACTGCATTTTGATAGCAAAAGTAAGTGATTTACAAAAGCATAGGAAAACTCAAAAACAAAAGCCGAGCCATCGTTTAGCATTCAGCGGAGTGCAAATATTCTTCCATTTATGAAAAGTTCAAATGTTCATAGAACAGAGGGAAATATGGCGCTTTTTATAGCAGAAAGTTGTCCTATTAGTCATGTAGGCAAACTAACTAAATTCTTTACAACAAATTTTTCAGATAGCAAAAGTTGTAATAATCTGACTCTTGGACGAACAAAATGTTCAGCCATAATTTCAAATGTTTTAGCACCACATTTTAAAGAAAATTTAATAGTTGATATAGGTGATAGCAACTATAGTTTACTAATTGACGAAAGTAATGACATTTCAGTTTCCAAGCTTTTAGGTATTGTAATTAGATATTACTCTCAAAATAGAAAATGCATAACTACAACTTTTTTAGATTTAGTACCACTTAAAGAGTGCAATACTGATGCAATTTGTGAAGCAATTAAAATTTCCTTGAGAAATAATGCCTTGCATAAACTCGTTGCAATTGGAACAGATAACGCTTCTGTAATGATAGGAATCAATAATGGTGTATATGCTAAACTCAAAGCCGAAGTACCTACTTTGATTCTGGTACGTTGCCTCTGTCATTCATTACAATTAGCAATTTCCCACGCTACAAAAAAAGGTCTTCCAAGAAATATAGAATTTCTTATTAAAGAAACATTTAATTGGTTTTCTCATTCTGCGATTAGACAATCCAAATACAAGGAACTCTATTCTTTGATGAATGATGGAAATGAACCATTGAAATTAGTACAAAGTAGTGAGATTCGTTGGATGTCAATTCAGACCGCTATTGATAGAATTTTGAGACAATGGAATGATTTAAAGGCAAATTTTAATTTGGCCAGAACAAACGAAAGATGTTATACGGCAGAAATTTTGTTCTCAATGTTTGATGATCAAAGAAATTTCTTATTTTTTTTATTTCTTAAACCTGTACTTAATGAAGTTCAGAGATTAAATAAAATATTTGAATCTGAGAATAATGATCCTACGAAGTTGCTACAGGACTTGCTAAATTTAATAGAATCTTGTTGTTCTAAGATTGTTATTCCAGGAACAAAAATAACAAATGAAGTAGTAATTGAAAACCATTTAGCACTCAATCCATATTTGGGTTATCAGTTTGAAACTGAAATAAACAATTCTGCACTGTTAGATGAAGAAAAGAAAAATATTCTTAGTCGCTGCATTGCCTTCCTTTTGTCTCTTATAAAACAACTTCGGCAAAGGTTACTTGACAATATATCAATATTGAAAACCATGACGTCACTGAGTATTGACCAATGCCTCAACTCAATTAAAAGTGATATAATAAATTTTGTGAAAATGTTTCTCACTGATGATGCAATATTAACTCGCATTGACTTTCAGTGGAGGAAAATTCATACAATTCAGTGGAAAGAAACTTCCAGCACGATAAACCTGTGGATGGAGGTAGCTCAATACCGAGATGCTGCCAGAGAAAATTCCTCTAAAGACTTGGTCAATTTTGTTTTAAAAATTCTTTTATTACCTTACTCAAATGCAAAGTAGAGCGTTTATTTAGTCAGATGAATATTGTTAAGACCAAACTGCGGAATAGATTGAATATTATTTCATTCAGTAGCATATTAACGATTAGATATGGTTTGAAAAGATTAGGGAAATGCAGCTATGATTATGAATTGCCAGCAAATGTCATTCGAAAAATAGGCACTATGAAATCATATCAACATTTACAGTTTGAAGCAGGATCATCTTTTGAACACAATGAAGAAATTGAAGAAGTAATGGAATTTAGCGACGAATGGACTTTTTGAATTAAGTTAAAAATAGATTAATTAAAGGCAGGTTTTTATTTTTTGTTTAGCCCAGTGTTTCCCAACCTTTTTTGTGCTATGCCCCACCGAAACCTTTCTAAAATTCTCATGCCCCCCTAACATATAGTGGCTATACCAGGCATGGCCAACATACGGCCTGTCTAATGAATTTATGTGGCCCGCGATTAATCATCCAATATTAGCTACTCAAGTCCGAATAGCTCGATGAAAAATTCTCATGACTAAAAAAAAAAGTCAACAACTCATTCTCAAATTGCCCCCCTTAACAATCGAATTGTTCCCTTGTGGGGCGTGGGCCTCACGTTTGGAAACACTGGTTTAGCCATTTTTTTAGCGAATTTTGAAAATTTTTTTAGCTATTTTTAGAGAGTTCTTTGTTTGCTTTTAGCTACTTTTATTTTTTTGAGTTGGCAACCCTACATACTTGTATGGTTCCTTTGACTTTTTGCTCCTACAGGTATAGTCTACAGCTGATAAGGTTCAAACTGTCTCATTCAGAGATGTAATTGTATCCTATAAGTCTAAATAATGTTTAACAAAAATAAATTGATTTTTGAATAATTCAAACTATTAGAAATTTTGAAATTCTTGCAATTTTGAAAATAATGCTAGAAATTAGTTAACTTTTTAAAATGAATTTACTGTCATTATAAAATTTTTGTTGAATTATCAATATTTGTGTACGTTATATACTGTATATATCTAATTTTACATTTCAATGTGACGAGTAACTGAAAGATAAAAAACATAACCCATAGTGTGATACATTACAGGATCTAAAGGGAAATAATTATATTCCAATTACCCTACTTATCTGTTTTAAAACTTATATCTTTGTTACAAAAATAAAAGATAATATAAAATTACACTTTTATCAAGAAAATACTAAAACATTGTCTTTATCAATATTAATTCTTTTTTGAAAAATAAATTTTCACAAGTTTTCTATATAAATTATCTCAAACTACAAAATTGTACAGTAAAACTCATTAATTCAAAGTTCAAGGTGTTAAATCCCATCTACTTGGAGTTAAATGGCTTTGAGTTAACAAGTTAATACTCAATTTTCTCAAATTTTTCTGTAGCCATAAATTTGCCACTATCAAGCCATTTCTCAAGAATATTCATAGAATACAAAATTGAACATGGTTTATGGCCCTTTTTGAGTGTGTCAAGGTGCTGTCTTGTGTCATTCAGAATGCTGGTAACATACTCTATCACTAAGGATTGGATGGCCAGGCAATTCAAGTCCCAGGAACTGGGGACCAAAGATTGAATCTGGATGGGTTGAAAATCCCAGGAATTGCTTGGTGTTGTCCATCTGGATATGTAAGGCCCTGTTCAGCAATGCCTGGCCATCCAATTGTGAGTCTGGCCAAATCCATAATAGTATTCTTAAAAAGATCCTCTTAAGGCTGTGACACACTAGGCAATTTCTTGCCCAGGAGACATGTCTAACTACAAAAACCTGTTGACATTTTGTCAATGTTCGGACACATGATGAGACAAGTTGTTGGAGTCATAAGAGTGACATTTCTACTAGGTAATTGTAAATTTTCACTGATGGTGTGAAAGCATGTATCTTTGAGTACCTTGTTATGATATTCTTTAATAGTGTGATTATACCATAAATTTGTTCTTATGATTGAATTAAATGTCAACCAGCAACTATCTTCCATTTTTATTTTTGTGTTGTAAACAAGAGCTGTACTCGTGATAAATCTACGTGCACTCATTGGTTACAGCAAGCAATGGGAGAGACTTTGTCTCCCAAAATCAAAACAGGTTGACTCAACAACTGCTCTCCCACTGCCTGGGAGATTGGTTTTTCAATCTCCCACAAAAATTGCATAGTGTGTCATGGCCTTTAGTGCCCACAGGTTGGAAAGAGTTACAGTACTGTACATATTTAGTTCTCATGTATGTATGTGTGTATATATATATTTATCTGTAAAGGGATGTTGTATGGCATGGTGTTGTATCAGCTTGGAGCTGTAGTGTTTATCTTCATTGTCTATAATATAAGAGAAAATGAAAGATTAAGGACCTTTCAAAGGGTGGAGGTTATATGGAAAAATAGATTTGAGTTAAAAATACTGTACATGCAATTTTGACTTAATGATAAGGTATTATATGGAAAATTCTATATACTGTGCCTGAGACATGTTGACAGCTTTGGATTAATGCAGTTTGACTTGATAAGGTTTTACTGTATATGTAAAATTTCTTAATTTTATAATTGTTTCAAAATATTTAATCAAATTTTATTTATTAAAAGAATAGATGTACAGTAGAACCTCGATTATCCGGACTAATTGGGGATGAAGGTAGTCCGGATAAGGAAAAATCCGGATAATCGAAACAAATACTTTAATTTGTCTTTTAATGATAATATAACACGTTTTCTTTTCGATGACATATCGGTAATATTAAAA